ACAGCTTATTTCACAGCCTTGATACGGTAAAGTGAACGCCGCAGCTTGAAGTGATGCGTTTGTGGATAGGAACTAACATTTTTAACGATTTTAGAACTCCTCAATTCATTCAGACGCTCTTCTTTTGGCACTGAAAGGAGTATCTGACTGGTCTAACCGCGTGTTTCTTCGCACTTCTACACTTTTAACCAGTCTGCAGGAAACAGACAACCTAGATGACGACCGCTGATTTACTAGAAACCTTAATCATCATCTTCATGATAACGTCATCCCGTATGACATCCTGCAGCAATTTAAGAAAATGCTTTGCTACCCAGAAAACATGAACAATCTTTTAAAAGGCTGCACAAAACATGATTATATCTAAATAACGAACTTCCAAGAAGCAGGGGGCAGAGAGTGAAACTTTTTAAAACGCGTGGAGGATATATAACGTGTAAACCATACAGTTGGTGAATATATTATCCTACTTCCATTCGCTTAAGCGGGTTCTCTTCCACTGCCGCTTGCTGAAGCAGCTCATAATACTCCATGTACTCAGCAATGCGCTGCAAAAATGTGATCGGCTCGTTGAAAACGATTGGCATCGTTATTTTTGTCAGCTCCTGAAAAACAAGAAATAACTAAAAGGGACTTTCAGATAACCGCATAACCTGCAACTACAGTTAAAAGCAATTAAACATGGACTGTCGAAATTTTGGCAGTCGGTCTAAAGCCGAAACGGGCAATGAAATTCGAGTTGTCATTGCATCAGGTTATCATAGTACTGTCACTTAACTGAGCTATTCGCCCTGCTGTTAAAAGCCTTGATCAGCACTTCCATCATCGGTTCGTGGTTAAGACTTTAAAGCGCTTGCAAAGACTTTAACCTTAAATTCTATCTGGCTCTCTTTCGATTTCTCGTAACGCTGTCACTCAACAGATCTGCTACGACAGTTTTACTCATAGTTTCGCTCACAACTTTGTGTTCTCGTTTTACCGTACTTTCATATCTTTAGCTTGAGCTCAAGTATCTTCCATTAACTGCGTGTGTGTCACGTGAAAGAAATTAATTATTTAGCCAAATACTTATTTACTTAAGCTAAGTAGTTGTTTAAGCTTGCCTAAGTAATAAACCTTCAGTTTCACCTCTATATGTGAACATGGTGCACCTCGCTTTGTCTAAGAATGACAACACCCATTAGGCTTAAACCATTTTCGCCTGCCAACAGTTTGCATTCCATTGGCAAGTCGACCATTAACAGCCATCTGCTCTTCGCATCAGCAGAGTGCCAAGTCAAAACGAGGCTACACCTGCGTAGTAGGGTGATCTAAATGACCATGTGCAGCAGCAGAATAGCAGATTAGAATGAAAGAGGTGAACACGGACTGTCAGGTTAATTTGTAATTCATAAGCTTCAAAAGGCTGCTACGTGTTCCATTGATACAACCCAATTAATCTGAACAAAATTTTACCGTAAGGGAAATAAGTGCGTGAAGTCCTGCGACATGAATTAGTGGTGCCCAATCAATAAACTGTTTTCGATGCGTGTGCTGCCTACAACCAGCGCTCTGAATTCACTGAGCTGTAACTCAATAATACTGCATTTCCACGACGAGAGAAATACAGCTACTAATTAGCTGATACTCTAATCCGTACCAATTCCTTATGTTGCCGGCTGATAACGCTTAGAGAGATACGTGAAGTCATAAAAGATAGGCACTTTCAGACTCTCAAAAGCACTCCCAGGTCAGGGTTTACCGAGAAAAAATAGAAAGTAGTTCCCCTATCTCGTAACTTTCGCCCTGGAAGAAAAGATGTCACGATTCAGCAGAAACCTTGTAGTTTAATCTCCTCATGAACTCTTTCGTTCATATTTAACCACATAGTAGATAAATTACGATGCAACCCTGCAACGGAAACTCTATATAGAGCTGAGCGACGATGAAAACAAAATGAATATACGCATCAGAAAATCAATTACCTTTCCAATAGACTGTTTCAGAATACTCCAAAGGTTGATTTGGCTGCGTTTAATCATCAGGGCAGGAAGTTTGGTCCTAAAAATGTGAACGATTGGTAGCCATAACACAGAACAAACAACATTTGAAAAACGAGCCGGACTGGAAACATTTTGCTCACAAATTCATCATAATTTCAGTCTCGTAGCGGAATTAACACGTGAACAACATACATACGATCCGCACTTAAGCTGGTGTTGGCATTATGGAAGAACCCAACCTGACTGACAGAATCACTGAATAGAAGCCTGTTAGCGGAAGAGTGGAAATCCTCTAACTGAAGTTGCAATAGAAGTGCGAAAGAATTAGCGAAAGTAGTAGATAAAGCGAAAGAAAAAAATTTCTGGGA